CGTATTATATTTGAAAGGTGACAACTTATTTAGTACAAGTACAATATAAGATAATACGCAACTATTAACTTCAGATGGGAGAAGCAATTTATCTGTTTTATTATGGGTGAAAACAAATGTGCATTACCATATAGCACAAATAAGTGAAATCATTCTGGTGTGGTCCTGTGTTGCCTGTGCTAGATATGTACAAATGTACAAGTATATAGGACTATTTCTTTTTATATGCCTGAATATTTGTTTGATTGGACAATCCAATTGCACTCTGGAACATTTAGCATCCTATAGTGGGTTGAAACAGTCAAGAGTGATATCAGAGAATAATAATTAGGAAAAATTGACATAAATAATCCCACCTTTTAGTGGTCTGCTCATATTAGTCACACCTTTCAATTAGCTCTACCTCATGAGCATACCACTAAAATGAGGTAGAGCTAATTGAAAGGTGTGACTAATATGAGCATACCACTAAAAGGTGGGATTATTTATGTCAATTTTTTCTAATAATTATTATAAATATATATATATATATATATATATATTTTTTTTGTTTTTTGCTTGTGAATTCAATCTTTGATATCTATTTGGTTTCATTCGATCTTAGGCTTGTGGGTACAAAGAAAATCCTTTGATTGCTCTATTTGTTGCTCAAGGTGGTGTCTTTGTAGAGATTAAAGATTTGTTACATATTTCGTACGAGTATTAAAGTTTGTATTTCATTTTGGCCAATAATTTTACACTAATTTTCTAATCTTAAGAAAAAAAAACATCTAATACTGCCTCCATTCCAAACTAAAAGTCTTTTTGTATCCAAATCCTTTTTATGATTCAAAATTTATGAGAATATTTTTGTATATACTAAGTAGTTTCATATTAATATGTCGATAGAGACATAAGATTTTTGCTATATAAAAATGGACAATTTTTCAATGTACAACCAGTTGTACTTTGTACATGATATTATTAATGATGCTACTAATATTATTACTTTACCCATTTGCTTATGCCTTGAAAATACATGATTTAAAATTTAGTATTGGTTGTACCTTAAAATGGTACAAACGGTTATAAAGTGAAGTTTCTTATCAAGAGGTGCTGCCCTGGATCCTGTGTGGTCCTGTGTTGCCTGTGCTAGATATGTACAAATGTACAAGTATATAGGACTATTTCTTTTTATATGCCTGAATATTTGTTTGATTGGACAATCCAATTGCACTCTGGAACATTTAGCATCCTATAGTGGGTTGAAACAGTCAAGAGTGATATCAGAGAATAATAATTAGGAAAAATTGACATAAATAATCCCACCTTTTAGTGGTCTGCTCATATTAGTCACACCTTTCAATTAGCTCTACCTCATGAGCATACCACTAAAATGAGGTAGAGCTAATTGAAAGGTGTGACTAATATGAGCATACCACTAAAAGGTGGGATTATTTATGTCAATTTTTTCTAATAATTATTATAAATATATATATATATATATATATATATTTTTTTTGTTTTTTGCTTGTGAATTCAATCTTTGATATCTATTTGGTTTCATTCGATCTTAGGCTTGTGGGTACAAAGAAAATCCTTTGATTGCTCTATTTGTTGCTCAAGGTGGTGTCTTTGTAGAGATTAAAGATTTGTTACATATTTCGTACGAGTATTAAAGTTTGTATTTCATTTTGGCCAATAATTTTACACTAATTTTCTAATCTTAAGAAAAAAAACATCTAATACTGCCTCCATTCCAAACTAAAAGTCTTTTTGTATCCAAATCCTTTTTATGATTCAAAATTTATGAGAATATTTTTGTATATACTAAGTAGTTTCATATTAATATGTCGATAGAGACATAAGATTTTTGCTATATAAAAATGGACAATTTTTCAATGTACAACCAGTTGTACTTTGTACATGATATTATTAATGATGCTACTAATATTATTACTTTACCCATTTGCTTATGCCTTGAAAATACATGATTTAAAATTTAGTATTGGTTGTACCTTAAAATGGTACAAACGGTTATAAAGTGAAGTTTCTTATCAAGAGGTGCTGCCCTGGATCGGATCAGATTATACTTGATGTACAATTACTTTTTTTTTTTTAAGAGGTAAGCGGAGCCATACAGCCCAGCCCATCATATTACAGGAGGAAACTACGGGTGGGAGTGCCCGAAGATGTGCTCGATCCCGGGTGGAGACCACGGAATGTGAGTGTAGCTCCACTGAGCTATTCACTCACTGCACAACTGTACAATTAGTTTTGTCATCAAAATAAATTAGATCTTTTTAGGGGAAAAACAAGATTGTGGGGCAAGTGTATGTAAAAAGACTAGAAGTGAAGAGTGGTTGCCGTACAAGATTGCTCCATCACAACATATTCACATTCACTCCCTAGTCCCTACCTTCATTCTGCAAAACATAAAATCACTTGCACAATTTCACTCTTTCTCAACTCATTAAATAAAATCTCCATGTTGGTTCAACTACTTGATCCGGTAGCGCTAGCAATCCCCCCGTCTACAGATAATCTTCATGTATTTCTTTTTAGTATGCCTTAAGCGTTCGTGAATTCCGATTATTTTGTCTTCCACTTTCTATTTTTTGGATTTTTTTTATTGTGGGTTCTGTTCCTGCTTCTCCATCATGGGTTTTTATTTAATGAATTTTTTGTAGTACTTATAATTTAATTTATGCCCTTTCATGTATCTATGATAAGTACTATGGTCTAAGGATTATTTATGTTTGGTATGTCCCCTGCTTCCTCCTTTTCAGATATTTATAAGAAACTAAACTTCACTGTCTAAGTTATCTTTTTTGCAACTTTTGTTTTCATCAGGTGATTTTTTTATTTTTGGTAATGATGCAACATTATGAGCTCCAACAGAAGAATAAGATGGAGAAAGCCGAAAGCGCGGCGGAGCAATTACATGTTTGCACTGAGACTACTGCTGAATCATGCACCAAGCTCTTCTCCATAAGGTATGTTACATACTCCTTATGTCCGAAATTAATTGTCACGTTCATAGCGTAGTTTTGTATACCTAAGTCTGAACAGAGGTTAATTGTACTGTATAATTAATCCTATTGTATTCTGAAGTTGTTGAAACGCATTGTGAGTTTATTTTATGTCCGAAATTAAGGTCTTTGCAAAATCTTGGTATAAGACGATCTGTTTATAACATTTTTTTTGCTACAGAAGAAGTGTATAATCACTTATAACTTCGCATTATATTAGTTGTTTGAGATGATATGCTTTAATGTTACACCTAATTCAATTGAAAGGATTTATGCTTCTCCATAAGTTATGTTGTACACTCCGTAGTACGCACTTGATTCTATGGCATATTATATTAAACACTAATAAAATTTCAAAGTGAGATGAATTTTTTACTGTTACCTGTAATTTTTCATATTTTCACCTCGTTAAATCAATAGCATGTACTGTCTCTGAATTTATGCACTTGTTGTTCTGCAACCCTTCTGTTTTACCATTTCATCAATGTTTAGGTATTAGTTTATCAACTGCTGCAAAATTTCTTCTGAGCTACAAGTACGAGTGTATAACACTATTCTGATTTAATTTTCCCCTGCAGACAGTATGTTTATCTTTCGCGTCAAAAGAATATATTTCAGAATTGGCCATTCCCGGAGAAATACTTAAAATCGTGCCTTGAGTATGGTGTTACAAACGTGCTTCCACCTCTTGAAGCTCGAGTTGTACTTGAAAGGAAAAGTATCTCATGTGATAAGGGAAATGTGGCGAATGTAGGAAATGATCATGACACGTTAGTTGAAGCAACGATATCTATGAAATCTGAACAATTCCAGTTGGTAACCCTTTCATGTAATGACCAAAAACAAGAGGAAGAGAATCCTTCTGACGTGCTTAGTCCGGGTTATAGGTACATGAATGAGGTTACACCCATAAGTCCTAGTGTAGTATCAGCACGAGAGGGGAATAAAACAAGGAAGTGGAGGCGTAAAATGAAGACTATGGCAGAGATTTTTGCTACTGCAAAGCATTGCACTTTAGAAGAGGTTGATGAAATGAATGACTTGAGTTGCACTTCTGTTACAGCCCTGGATATAGAAGGAGAACACAGGAGAAAAAATCAGGTTGATTTCGAGTACTTTGATTCTAAATCAGAGCTCACAGATGATGGTGCAGATTGTAATAACAGACTGTCCAAACGTATGCCAGTGTTAAAGTCTTGGAGCAGATTACCAAGTTCATCATTTAAATCAACTAATCTAATTACCAAGGTATATATCAATCTCGCTTTACTATGGTCTTGCATTTGATTTTTGTTGACTGTTCGTATTATTGTTACAGTTTATGAATATTTAAGTCTGATAATAGTACTACTATACACTAATGAATCAGGCTAATTGCCTGAACAATTAGGCAACTGCCTCTACTTGCGCGTCTTTCCTCTGGTTCTATTGATAAATTTGTCTGGTGTTATTTTCCTAAATTTTTCTCAACTAACACGGAGTAATTACTTTTTTCTTGATAGAATCGGACAAAAGGATGTTACAGGAGGACGCGAACTAATGATTCAAAATCATCATTCGAGCTGCAGGATGCATATATATTTATGTCGAAGTGAAATACTTGAGGTTGAATCTCATATTGATTATCATTTTGGACACTGATTGTCATTGCTGTTGGAGATCTGAAGATCTGCGTGCTAAACATTATTGTGGATTTGTAGAGTTAAAGAAATTTAAAGGTGATAAAGTTTGACAAACAATACATTTAAAGTTAAAGATGTTATGCACTTGTGATGTTTTTTGGCCTCATCTTCTTTGCTTAACTATACAAATAGACAAGTCATGCATACATAATAGTTGTGCAATCGCGTATGTTAATAATATGTAGTACTTCGTACATCCCTTAACGCATCTCTAAACTTTTGATACTCCTCATACTACTACTCTTTTGGCGGAGAAAGAAGACATCAACGTAAACAAAAAGCAATACATGCATAAACCAAAGTTTTCTTGCACCTTAATTTAATTTTACATCAATGTCATCCTTTTATCATGTGCCTAATCAGCTAATCTTGATACTATATAGTAACTTATTCACAGAAGATCTATACATTCCAACCGATATGATGACTAATTTCTCGAGCCAAATCGAGCAATCACACCCTCCCCCCAAATTAATAAATTCTTGCATTACAAACACGGAATCCTCTATTCAAGGTCTCATTAAGTTGTGTAGGCGTAGGAAGAATTATCAACAAAAAACTTTCAAGTCCTCAACAAATAATGATCTAAGCAATGACGTTGTACCATGGAGACTTCATCTAGTGAATATCCTAGAATCCCCTCAAGCTCATATCGTCGTGATTATTCTACTAATATTTGATCTCGCGATATCCTTTATTGAGCTCTCTTCCTCTTTAACACCAACCAAATGCAAAGATGTGGAAGGAAGAAGACTACAAACATGGTTTCATTGGGTAGGAGTTATAATTCTAGGCCTCTTATTTTTGAAAACAATCCTTTTGTGTGTAGGGTTAGGCAGGGCATTTTTCGAGAATCTAGGCTATGTTGTTGATGGTGTGGTTGTAGTGGTGGCATTGGTGTTAGAGCTGGCCTTAGCGAGGGTTGGTGGAGGATTGTTGGTGGTGGTGAGCTTATGGCGAGTGGTTCGAGCCGTGGAGAGTGTGTTCGAGTTAAGTGATGATGCCATTCAAGCCAAGGTTGAGTAGGTGATTAGTGAATTTGTTGTGTTAAGAGAGGAAAATAAGAGCCTTTTGGACACAATTGCTAAAGAAGAAAAGATCATACTACAGCTTCAAGAACAGCTTGGTGGCCTTTATACGCAAATGTTAACAACTTCAATTTTCTAATCTACAGTATTGTGAATGACTTGCTTATCTTTGTACAATGGTAAATACTTTTATACATTGTTATAATGGATGCGAAAAAGACTAAACAAAATCAACAAATGAAAACGAGGGAGCCCCAGTTCCTCATCACGAGGAACACTTTTGTTCCTTATAATGACATTTTGGAAACTAACGTGATGTTTTTCACTAGTGGGGACCGCCTGTCAATTTTGGGTGGACCTCTTTGCTCTTGACCCATACCCCATGAGGAACAAAACCCTCACAGTGAAGAACAGGGAATTACTCAATAAAAACACAGATGTTTAACATTGATCACTTATAAAGTTACAATGCAAGTTACAATGCATTCATTAGATACGTCCACAAGCAATCTCTAATGACTCAGATATTATGTTAACCCTTAATTAAGTCCAAAAATGGTTTCATCCAAAACCAATTAACCGATATTAAAGTTCACTTGTCTAAAAAATGTTTCACCTAAAATTATACTCCGTCCGACCGTCCCTTCTATATTGTGTGCCCCATATTTCTTTTAAAGTCGCCTCTAAAAATTTGTCCTTTGTCACTTATGAATTCAACTCAACAATGATTAAGTAACAAAGTAAAAAATGACAACGGGCAAACAATTGAGTATGAAAATAGGAGGAATATGTAATTAGTCTTAAAAAGTCTTTAAATTTCTCTTATTTATTCGGGAGACTTACAATTCTTATACTAAGTATGTATTATTTAAAAAGGATACTTCTTTCGTCTAGTAATATTGCAACAATCAGACTTTTATATTATTTATCACGCTTGTTTAACCACATATTATGATTTATAGAGAGTGAGGGATAACTCAGTTGGTAAGAGCTTTCCTCCCGGTTCCAGGTGATCTTGGAATCGATTCTCATCCCCGCCCTAAGTGGCTCATATGAACAAAAAAAAAAAAAACATATTATGATTTATATGTAATGTAAAATATAGTCACGTGGGTTCTTGTTAGATTCACCTCGTAAAATACTTTCACAATATCAATTTTTTTTTTTATTTATTTTTACTCTTATATAATTATAGATATTTAACATATAATATGTGTTTTGAGATGTAATTTTATCCTTATTGCAATATTTGTGAACTGGAGAAAGTATAAGACATTTTGTTATTTTGTTCTTACTTTTCTATTTCACAATTCTACAAACATCACTACATCAGTATTCAATTTAGTGAAGTCATAACTGCCTACAATTCTCTCATTCTCCCACATTTTAAAGGATTACTTCTTCTCTAATAAAATTGGAGACAGAAAACCCAGAAAAACCAAAAATCAAAATTAAAATCAATGGCAGAAGTGAAGAAGATGAAGTTGGGTTCACAAGGGCTAGAAGTATCAGTCCAAGGACTTGGGTGCGCAGGATTAGTTCGACCACCAAAGCCAGAAGATGAGATGATTGGTCTAAATTCATCATGCCAATAATTCTGGCATCACTTTTCTTGATACTTCTGATATTTATGGCCCCTTTACTAGTGAAATTCTTGTGGGAAAGGTACAATTTCTTCCTTTTTCTTATTATTTTTGTTAAAATTTGAGATTGATTGCAACTTTAAGCAAGAATTGTGAGTTTGATTATAGTTTTGTATGTTAAAATTGATGGGTCTTGTTGAAAAAGCTACAATTTTTCATATTTTTGGTTGTTTTGGGTGTTAATGTATCATGTAAATGGAAATTAGTGGAGTTTGTTTGGTTGACTTTGTGGACTAGCTACTGAAGTTCATCCAATTTATTTTATTTTTAGAATTTGAGATTGTTTATGCTAATTGTTTACTAATTTAACCATTTTTTTTTTGTTTTGTGGGGAGAATATTTGGAGGTTAGGCAATATTGTTAAATTTGTCTGAGAACAGGAATTAAAAATTGACACATTTTGTGCTCTTGGTTGATTAAATTTAATATTTTTAATAGCTGTTTGCAAACCTTGATTGATGTAATTGGTATTTTTGTGGCTAAGGTTTTGAACATTAATGCAGCAAAAAAAATAAATAAAAAAATGATGGGTTGTGTTGGTATGATGGTTGTATATGGATACTCAATATCAACATATTATGATTCCTAAGCTAGCCAAAAAAAAAAAAAAAATTGCAAAACCCCTTATTTCGAATGCATTATTAATATCTAAGAATTCGAAGGTCTTGTCCAATGAAGATATTATTGCTAGTTTTGTTGCAGACATTAATATTCTTGATTGATCAATCAGGCTCTAAAAGGAGGGATGAGAGAGAAGGTACAATTAGCGACCAAGCTTGAAGAGACTTGATGTTGATTGCATACACCTGTATTATCAGCATCGTGTTGATTCCGGTGTTCCGATTGAAGTAACGGTTATTATTTTGAATATCTCTAATTCATAGCATTCCCCTATTTATACTTTAACTTTTATGCTTGTTACCCGTTTACTGTTTTGCAAGAACTGAATATATGCTATTGGACTAGTTTATTTGTAAGTTCTACATTTTTTTTTCTTAACTTATGTAACTATGTAAGTTACACCTGCCACTGGCTCCTCTAAATTTGTGCAACTAAATTGCTCTAATAATTTCCTAGAGGGATACATTACTTGTGAATTGAGACTAGTTTTTAAAATGATAATGATTATTTGTTTGAGGATCTACTCTATATTGAGCGGCTGAATATCATCCTTGTACTATACGTCAGTGAACTGTGACAAATAGAAATGTATATTGGGGGACTTTTTTCTTTTGTGATGAATATTGGTGGTTAAGAGAATAGGAGGGAAGGGGGGGAGGGGGGTTGTTGAAGCTCACCTTTGCACTCAAGTTTCAAGCATGTGTACTTGGTTTTTTTTTTTTTTTTTTTTTTGTTGAATTGTTGCAAAATTTTTGGATCTGTTCTGCTACTGGTCTAAACCTTGTAAGATGTTTAGAGTAAAATTAGTTTGTCCTGTTGGCTTCATGTTTAATAAACCACAACATTCTGTTGCTAATGCTTCATATAAATCATATTTGTTAATACTGTGCTGCCCTCACTGGCTGCTGCTCCTATCATGATTCTGCTGCCCATCTTTCAGATAGGCGAGCTCAAAAAATTGGTTGAAGAGGGAAAGATTAAGTACATTGGTCTATCAGAAGCATCTGCTACGACAATCAGAAAAGCTCATGCTGTCCACCCTATAACAGCTGTGCAGATGGAGTGGTCTTTGTGGACACGAGATTTAGAGGAAGAAATTGTGCCTACCTGCAGGTGAGTCCACAGTTACTGTTTTCTTTTAGAACTGCACAAATTCTACTGATTATGATAAGTTTGGTGAATTCAGGAGCACCTTCCTCACCACGGTTGGAAGTCATGGAACCATATTGTGTAGTTATAATGGTTGTAAGTTGTATATACTAATCTTAGTATATGAGCATATTGTTGATGTTGCACAGAGAACTTGGCATCCGAATTGTAGCATATAGCCTTTTAGGTCGTGGATTCTTTTCATTGGGAGCCAAGGTGGTTGAAAACTTCTATGAAGGTGACTGCCGAAAGGTGTGCTCAAACTTTAAAGCATTTACATTCAACAATAGTGGCCTTCCTACTTCCTAGCATCTTATTATTGTGTAAACTTGCTACATTTTGAAAATTTCCCCTTCATATCCTGTTAATAGTTTTGAACAATTTTGAAAAAGGCTAGTCGGCAAATTTCCAACTTTGAATTACAATAGGCTTATAGACTTAATCATATACATCTGGCAACTGTCTATATATTCAATTGCTGTGAAGTGTGAAGTTTCTTAGTTGTCTTTTGGCTTAAAAATCTACTAAAAAACAGCCTCTTTGCAAATATAGGATTAGACATAAAGAGCATCTTCACTATTGCTCAGGTTAGACTGTAGATTCAAGTCATTCAGCTATCTTTCAAAGGCAGGAGTCATGTTAGAGGTGTTGGAGGTGATGGCTACTAGGGTGGTATATTATGGTATTGAGCAAAGGTTTTCTTACAACGATTTGAAAAACCTTCTATAATCCACTATAATCTCCTTCACACATCTTGTAGACTATCGTACTTTTGTTTTGCGCTGTTTGCTTTTTGATATTAATGATCTGGGTTGTGACTCTTGTGAGTAATCTCAGATTAGTGTAAATAATGATAAAAGTCTTTTAAGTTAGCGGAATAGTTGTTATTTTCATCCTTTTTCATTATTTAATATAATAGGGGGAGAGAAAGATGTGAGTACGTATTAGAAACCACCATGAAAGAAGGCAGGGGAAGCAGATGCCATCACAGAAGCCAAGAGTATGACATGCTGCATCCCTAAATCTTCACTGCTGCAGTGTGAACTGTAGAGATGTTGGTGTTTGGCATTTGTAAATTGGTGGTGTGGTTAGTGGTTTTTTTTTTTTTTTTTTAAGTGTGGAAGTTGGATGGTATCAAGGTTTGTTAAATATGGTGAAAGGTTAACTGTAGTTAACAAATGGTAAACTTAATTACTTTATTGATTAAAAATCGTCGTTCATGTCATCAGATCATGTGGTGGAAAGATCAAGAATATAGGGTTATTTGTGATATTATCATTTTTTTTTGTTGGAATATAGGGTCATTAATGAGAAATTCCCTTAATATTTTCAATTTTATGTGTTTTTCTCCACTTCTTGCCCATTTTTTTAAATTTTTATATCATTATTATATTTATGTGTGCTGATAAATATTTTTGTAGAACATACTGAGGTTTCTGCCTGAAAACCTTGAGCATAACAAACACGTTTTTGAACGGGTTTTAGTGAAATGGCTGCAAGGAAAGGATGCACTGCATCGCAGCTCGCTCTTGCTTGGGTTCATCATCGAGGGGACGATGTCTGTCCTATTCCGGGCGCAAGCAAGATCAACAATCTGAACCAAAATATTGCAGCCTTGACAGTGAAACTTACACCTGATGAAATGGCTGAACTCGAGTCGTATGCTTCTGCTGATAATGTGAAGGGTGATAGAACCTGGACCAAAACCTTTTTTTGGATGGATTCAGATACCCCTCCTCTATCCTCTTGGCAATCATCATAGAACAATCTATTGCAGAAATATGTTGCATTCTACATAGGTACAAAAGTTTATTGTTCAGGTCATTTGGGGACACAACTTTATTGTTTGTCTTCGTTGCAACCTTAAGCATTTTCGAATGAGCTTTAACTCTAATACTTGTATAATTTAAGTGACTCGGTGTTTTCTCCTTTTCTAAAAACTATTTTGGGCTTCTAAAAAAGGCTATTCCTCGAGAACTCCTTGTTTGGCCCAATGCAAGGATTGTTTCTCAAGCTAAGAAATGCTTCAAAATCTTGCCAAATACAGACTTACAGAGTATAGTCTAGTAGTAATTTATATATCGTGTTCCTTTTTTATCAATCTTACTCGAATTACTGTGATCAAATTAAAGCGAATTGGATGATAGGTTTCTTATTTATTTATTTTTAATTTATACAATCATAAATGGAATTTTCGGATTTGTTTAAAGTTTTGAATTCCATCCGTAAAATGTAAACCAATTAACCTACCAGTAATTAGCATTCATGCATGTATACAAAAACAACTAACTTTGACAAATTTTGATGAGCTATCGAAGCTTGTGGTGTATTGTTAGCTATAGGTCTTGGATGTTTTGAAACTTTGTAAATCTAAAAGAGTTGATTTTAATCTCAGGTTTGGGGTAATCCTCCCAATTAAGACTTTAATGTTTAGTTGACATTAAAAAAAAAAAAAGAAAAAATAAAAGAAGTATTTAATTTTTGTTTTTGGAAGGAAAGTGATATAAAAAACCCTAAGAGCTATACATGAGAGGCTAAAAATAGAATAATAAACGAAATTTAACAATAATCACATCAATGGACGTATGTGGTTTTGTCACATTTCTAAATTAATATTTCGCATCAATTTAATTAGGAAAGGTATTGATGAATGATGATACTTTTGATAGCCATAAATAGACTGCAGTAATGGAAATGAATTTTAAGTTTATTTTAATATGGAAAACAACCTATAATCTCCATAGGAACATAATCACATCCCCAAGTGAGCTTTTGTTTTCTTCATATTTTTTCATTACTTACTACGTAGGATTTAGGATGTATATTAGGTGAGAATAATTTATGAATGAATATAGATAATTTGTGGGCATCTCGAGTGATCATGCATGGATTCATGGAAATGATTATTGATTTTCTTAATAATTAATAAATTTACATAAAAGTTCATTCTAATTATGTTAAATTATGGGGAAAATATATCTCTGTATTTTCCCATTATATTTTGCCTGTATTTTCCCATTTATAATACTTGGCCACATTACAATATATATAGACAATAAGAATACCTAATCTTAATATTCCTAAATATCTTAACTTCATAAAATCTATCACAATATATCAAATATATCTTTTATTTCACGATAATATATCATATGATATTATTCTCATAATATCATATCACAATATACATTCCTATCTCAATAAATTACCATTGTTTATAACCGATTACCAAACGAGCCATAAATGCTTATTTTTAGCCTTAAGGGTTGCATATATCATTATTTTTTTTTAGAATGATTGTTATTGAAACTATATATTTTCCCCGTTGTAGTAGGTGGGATGACGTAATTGCATGTTTTTAATTTCTCAATTAAAGCCGAATTTGCAATAATACAAGATGATCAAGGACCAAGATTAGAAATCACATTTAAAGCTGAAATTTCAGGCTCAAGCATTAAATTGGACGACTATTTTAGCTAATTGGAGCTTTCATTCAAAATTAATTACGCCATTTTAATGTAGGGTCTCTTGCTTTAAATTTTTAATTTATGGCTTTAAATTTTGGATTGGTCCCTCTCTCACCACATGCATGCAATCGTACGTAATTAACGTTTATAGGGTCCATTATAATTAACATAATAGTATAGCATATAAAAAAATTAAAAAATATCATAATAATAAGCTTAATTTAATGATTAATATAATCATTCATCAATTAGAAATAAAAATAAAAATTACAGCATTTTTTTTACAATTAACTTGCAAGAGCTGCTCTCCTCCTAATTAACATGTTTATTGTTAATAATCATGCGTTACAATTCATAATATATGTAGCTTACTATATATAATTACTACTTTAGGCTAATTAATTTTGGATACATCATAATTCAATTCATACATGATCATCTTCTAATTCATTAGAAAATAGATGGTAGCCGCAAAATTTCTTGAGCTACTTGACGAGACGTAGTAGATTCATCCAAAAGCCATTTCTCTAGAAATGTTAATGGAGGATTATTTCCATCGTCGTCATCAATGTAATCCATGTTTTCGTGTAATTTTACACCTTCGTTAGAATCCTCCTCAGTGGAGTCGTCACAAGTAGTAGTAGTGACCATGCCAACCTTATTATCACTATTAAGGTTGTCAAATGACAACATTGACTCAAATTGTTCATCTTCTTCGTCACCAACACATCCATCATGAACAATATCATTATTGTTGTTGTTGTCGTCGTGATTGTTACCAACTTCCAACTTATGTTTGGAAGTTGGCGAACACTTCATCCAACTTTCGAGAAGCCTTGAGATGTTCTCAGTGCTCGAGGCATAACAAGTTGATGATGACGATGGTGGTTGAGGTGGTGTTACCATGTTACGATCAACACTATGATTCTCGTGGTTATTATTATGATTATGATTATGATACGTGTTATTGTCGTCGTTGATGGACTTGTTATTGTGTAGAGAAGATGAAGTAGAAGATGATGTTAGTGGAATTTGTGGCTCTTGATGAAAAGATGATTGAAACCTCTTAAGTTTCTTCTTCAAGTGGGTGTTCCAATAGTTCTTGATGTCATTATCTGTTCTTTGTGGAAGATAAGAAGCAATTGCTGCCCATCTTAAACACAAAATAACGAAGGAAATAAATAAATTTATTTATACAAGCACAAATTATAACTAAAGTTTTCATCAAATTAAAAAAAAAAAAAAGTTTAGGGTTAGGAAATTACTTGTTACCCAATAATGCTTGTAAATGGATAATCATTCCTTCTTCATGAGAAGTAAAGTTGCCTCGTTTAATTCCTGGCCTAAGATAATTTGTCCATCTTAACCTACAACTCTTGCTGCATCTTTGCAACCCTTTTCCAAAATGTACATACATAAATTTATGAAGCAAAAGAAACCATAGAATATGATGAAATAGAGGTAAAACTAACTTAAATGACAGGTACATACGGTCCAAAAATCTACTAGTAAATAACATGAACTTGAAAACATGAAATATTCATGTATGGATCAGGATATAAGCATAACCGAGTTTTATTATATTTCCTAATAACAAATAAAAATATGTACCTGTATTGGTGGGTACGGATCTCCAATTCCCCGGACCATGTTCTTGAATGTATGAGACGAGAATGATATCTTCTTCGGGGGTCCAAGGACCTTTCTTGATGCCATCTTTGTCACAGCAAGGTGGTCTTCCCATGGCTAGCTTAGCTTAGCTCTCGTTGGATGTGTTAATTAGGTTTATTTTCTCTATGTAACTTATTATAATATCCAAGCTAAGAGAAGTATAGTAGTGAGTGGTAGCTAATTCTAAGAAGTTCATGAAAAAGTGACATCAACTGCCAACTATAAAGTGGCAATAAAGTTAGGGAAACTTTAATTTCCCATTGATCTACCCGTGCTGACTCGACCTCTAATAACTTTATAGTAGGAATATTAAATTTATAGTGAGTCAATCATTTAATACTAATAAAGTCAAAAGGTAAAGTTGTTTAATTAATCACTTCATGGACTTATCTCTCTCTTCTATTTTTTGTTTAATTTGTAATATTTCCTTCCTTTTTTTTAGCTGATACATTTCTTTTATTCAAATGTCAATACATGCCTCATATTCTTAACATCATTAAGCATTAATTAGTAAAATTATTATTAGCTCAATTTTTATTTATTTTTTGACGGGTACTAGCTCAATATTTTGAAAATATAGTGAGACAAATGTAACAAGATTCTACACAAAATGTGTTTTCTATTTAGTAAATTATAATAACTAATCAAAGTAGAGTTTAAATAGACAATAATCGAAATGTCTCTACTCCATATTAAAAATAAAATAGAACTGAGAAAATATTAAATTGGTTGGTTTTTTTTTTTTTAGGCCATTGAGGGGACAAATTATATTCACATGATGCATGAGTATGTCAGCTTTAATTTATATGGCCTCCTAAAACAGAGGAGCAGCTTATCACCTTCCTCGATACTAATGAGATTTCTCCTTGGCAAGGTAATTGAAATTCGAACATACAATCATGCATTTTCAACTACTTGAACTTTGATATGGAATTTTGTGGAAAAGTGATCATCAATATGTTATCAATTTTTTGCTAATTTATTTATGCTAATAAATTTCATCATTGATTCAAACAAAAATATCTTATAGAAACGAATCGAGATACATCCCGTAATGTACCTTACAACGAGTAATTACATTTTTTTGGTGTTTAGAAAGCTACAAGGGCGGGGGTAAGAATCAATCCTAGCATTTTCTTCCTAAGATCTCCTGGAGACGAGAGGGAAGCTCTAACCACTTGAGCTATCCCTCACTCATACAACGAGTGATTACATTAGTTGTTACTTTCGTGTTTTGAGTGACAAGTTCCGTATGTACCTTACACTAGGCCAGTACCAACAAAATCATCAATTAAAACATGATCCCCAAATTCAACCCTTGATAACAAATCCATCTCTTGGTAGGGACAAAGGAGTAATCTTTTTTCACTTCTTGTTTATTTGCCCCCACATAAAGTCTTTGTAGATTGAATACTTTGAATTCATACTTCCCAATTCCCTACAATTTTGACACTGCATTATATAAGTGGGGATAGCTTATTGAAATATCGAGTCCCCCTTTTCTTTAATATAATGTTTAAGAAATAATGATTGATTGTTGATTATTTTACTATGTTTTAGTAGCAACATACAAAAATAGCTAGATATGAAATTATACGCTATGATGAGTCTAATAAGATTCACTAAAATTATTCGTTTTAATAACTTAATCAGAATATGTGGTGATAGTTTATAAAGTTTAACTCTTAAAAAGCAAGTGAAGCAAGGGCAAAAGGATCGGAGTATAGATCTAGTGACATTAGCTTGACCATTTCAACCACCAATGATGAATTGTTTTTAGTGCTCCTTTGAAGCAGAACTTAACATTATAAACTATTATTGCTTCGATCAACAAATTAAAACACATTCCATCGTGTCTAATTCTTCATTCTAGTCTTTCCTTACAAGCACAAGCAACTAACCAAATCTTGCCAATTATTGGCTTATGCAGCCAGAGCACTGTGCACCTGTTGGATATATGATAAGGTTATTCAAAGAAATTAAAGACTAAAACAAATGAACATGAACCCTACAAGAATATAATAGTTTAATGCTTGAACACGAATCCCAAAAACAACAAAGAACACATAGTTTAAATGCAAAGAACATGTTTAATCTCCACGTCCAAACCTAATGAACATGTAGTTTAAACTAAGGTTAAGCAAAAAATCAAGGTACCCTGAATCGGAACCGAAACCTGTTAGGAACCGCAACCGGAACCTATACAAGAGGTTTCAGTTCCGCTTCCGGGTAACAGAATGGAGAACCTGTTGCAACAGGTTCCGGTTCAGGTTCTCAATTTTTGGAACTGGAACCTGTAGGGTACCCTGTAACCTTATAAAAGTATCACTTAATTTCAAATTATTCACCAATTCTAACTTATTTTTTAAATAAGAAATATCAAAATTACAATTATAAATATATGTATTAAATTTGTTAGACAACTACTATTAGTTTGTTTTATTTGCGAGCTTTAAACATTGTAAATTAGTGACCAACCAGTTTTTTGTTAAAAAAATCTGCAAAAAGTTAGGAAGTATATTACAAGACAGGGTACCCTGAATCGGAACCGGAACCTGTAGGTTCCGGTTTCGGTTCCGGTTCCCATTTTGAGAAACCTGTTGCAACATGTTCCAGTTTTGGTTTCAAGAATTTTAATAGGGTTTTCGGTTATGCTCACCCCTAGTTTAAACCAAAAACACATGTTCATTATTTATTCAAAAATTCAAAAAACATAAATCATATATTGAAAAGAAAATATATATTAAAGGAACATAGTAGTATTATATAATTCAAAATCAAAGAATATATGAAGGTTCAATGGGCACTCAAGAGGGGGGGGTGAATTGAGTGTTAAGTAATCGTTGGCTAATTTTGCTTCTTTTCGGACTATGTGTGAGGAACCAGTTGTGCTGGTTCCCTTATGCAGCGGAATAAAACAAAGCAATAAAGAACACAACAAATTTAACGAGGTTCAGCCAACTCAGGCCTACGTCCTCCTATCCTAAGTCCTTTATTAATCTACTCCGAAAAACAAAGACAAAGAACACTCTACTGTTTCCCTACTCCGGGAACCAGTCTACCCCACACTCTACTCCGAGTGTGCTCTCGACTTACACTCGTAAGCCCAATGTGTTTGAACTCACAAACACTCACCCAGCCTTTAACCCCTTTGTTAAAGACTCAATACAAGAATCAAGAACTCTCCTTTGATCTCACTTCTACGAAGCTAATTAAGAGAAAATGTTTTTGTACTAGAATGCTCTTGTATATGACTTGATGAATGGGATTAGTGCTTAAGTATATGCTCTCAAATAATTGCTCTTTTTAATTTCTGGAGAGGCACACGAAATATGTGAAATAAGATGAGTTTATATAAGCTTAGATTCCTAAAACCTAGTTTCCTTAAATCACACAATCTTAGGGAATAAGATATATTGTAATTTTAGGAAAGTATTTATCTTATTTGATTTAATCACAAAGATAGAATCAATTAAGATAAATACTCCTAGTTTTTAGGTAACCAAGAATATTTCATCTTATTTCCAGCTGCACAAAATATTTTCAAAATAATCTTTTCGAAAAAATCTTTTTGTAAAATCTTTTTCCAAAACGACAGCTCGAATATTTCGTACAGTGAACCTGGTTCCCCGACCTGGTTCCCTGAATTGAAACATGTTATGAAACCTGTTCCAACTTTGTACCAGATTTCATATCATACTTCAATATACTTTTAAGCACTTATATAACCCAAACATGCAAGCATACTACGGAGCATATTACATGAAAACCTAGATAACATATTAAAGCATAAATCGTCTTTTCTTCATGTAATCTTCAAGACTTGAATCTTCCTTGAATACTTCTATTATGAGCAAACAATCTTTCTTCGAAATATCTTCGAAAGGCTTCTATGCTCCAAGTCTTGGAATCAACTCAACTACTGCACATGTAACATGGTTAATGCACAATAAAGAGTATGTGACTGCTTTTCCGCATAGCAGTCAAGGAAACGGTTCATACTGGTTCCCCACCAGTACATAGCACATTTATCATCTAACTGTTTCCTGTATATAGATAAGTTAGTTCAATAGATAACTCATATAATCAATAACTTATCTAGGAAAACAGTGTTCTATTTTAGTTGGTTCCCCCAACTGTATTGAACACTTTCAAAGACCTGTTTCCCTTAGCTGTTTGTCATCATTCAAAACTATCAATCAAAACCTAAGGGACTCAACAAATTCCCCCTTTTTGATGATGACAAACTCTTGAAGTTCTTGAACCTGTGGACATGCTCAAAAAGAAAACCGTCAAAAACTTCAAGGACTCAAAACTCTTTGGAACAAGTCAGTTAGGCTAACTGGTCCCCTAAACAGAAAATAGAAAATACGAAATAAAAAGACTCAAACTGACTCAATCTAAACTAGCTAAACCTCAAACTGACTCAATCTAAACTAGCTAAACCTTAGGCTTCAACTTCAAACTACTTCCCCCTTTTGGCATCATTAAAAAGTATCCACAAGTAAAAGCAATGTGCACAAGTTAATGTGCTTATCCATACAATGGCATCAACCACCATTCAAGCATTATGCTGCAAAAAGAGATTAGTCAAACAGTTCATACCATAGCAGAGTTAGTAGTTCATACAAGCCAACAAAGTTCAACCAAAGAAGCCCAAATCCATCCAAAAAGAAAGTTCATGGAATGGAGAGAAGTAGACAGACCAACAAAATCAGTTATTTTAGAATAAACATGAGGGTGAGGAAACAAGAACAGAAACAGCATCACTCCTCATCATCATTCTCGTTCCCTTCCTCCTCCTCGAACTTTGCAACATCTTCTGTATTATCATCTGATTCCTCTTCATCCTTGTCACCATGCTCTGCTTAAACCAAAATCATTATATTACTAAGCATATTCTTGTGATTCCCCAATCTGTTTCAAAACCACTTCCTGACCTGCTGGTTCCTCTATTTTTTTTTTTTTTTTTTTTTTTTTTTTTTTATAAATCATGAGAGATCCGCACTTATTCATAAAGTTCTCCTTGTTGCATAGCGAGTACAAGACTAGCATCACATCAATCAAGCAAAGACCTCCACCCTTTTGTGGTGTGAAAGGTTCTTGCTGGTACCCTTTTTCTCTTGGTTTCCGGAAGAGAATTAATGGACTGTTCCTCCTACACCTTCTTAGTGAACTTCTTTAATGAAGATTGAGTTACTCTACTTCGTACCATGGTCTTAACAATGAGTGTCTCCTCATTGTAACCAACAATATCTATTTCATCCTCT